AAATCCAGCGGGAGCTCGACGGAACAACTCGAAATGTGAACAAAAACAAAGCCGATCGCCCCGCCTACACTGCGTTGCTACCCCAGGTCCTAAACTGTAATGGAAATGCTCCACGGCCTGGGCCGGCCAGCGAGGCAGCCCGAGGCCTGAGCGAGGACGCTTAGGGACGCTTAAACGGGGCTACCCCGCTGCAGTGGAAACGCGCCATTAGAGTCTGACTTTGTTGGTCGTTGAAACATGGTACAACACACGTATGTAGGCTAAGTACTAGCATCCCTCCTCACATGCTTTCACTCTCTGCAAGTGCCGGTGCTGCACCGCGTTTGGAGGCAGGACCAAACCATTACATGTAAATAGAAGGGGGTGTACAGAGGCTTTGGGTAATTAACTTTTGGAAGAAAATAAGTTAAATGAATCGTAAGTTTAGTGAGTAATTTATCAATATAACGTTCTATTAATGTTAATTATTGAGGATTGATGAAAGGTTACTTACATTTTTTTTCTTAATGTTCTAAACATTTTGGGGCCCCTGTCAGTCATGGGCCCTTAGAATCGTCCTAACTTTTCACCCCCTTACGGCGCCCCTGCACACACACACACACACACACACACACACGCACACACACACACTAGAAAGATGTAAAATATTATTTGAACAACAATGTGGAATGTAATGCAGCAATAACCATAACATATTCATTCAAATACCACAAACATGATATTAACCAGTATACAGATTATGCACGGCAGCAAATAACCAAAAATGATTAATAATGAATGTTTTATTTAAAGACCCCAAATGTGGACTTCCGTTCAGGGGTGTTGTCGATTAATCTTTTCATCAGTGGCTTTAATTTGTGGTTGCTTTACGCCAGTTACAAAAGCCTCCTACTGTAAATGAACTTGTCTTTCTGTCATTATGTCTTAAGCCCTTCTCTATAGGCGCGTTCACACACAAGTACTTTTCGCACAAAGGTTCCTGAGAACTCTTGAGTTCTCATGAACTAAGTACAGATCGCGTTCACACCGGAAATTAGTTCCTGGGGGTGGATTCGTGGATTAGGCAAATGAAGCCGCTGACGTCACTTCTTCTTCTTCTGCTTTGGGGTTACTGGCAGGCCGCAAACAACTTCACGGCGTATACTGACACCCGGAGTCCCCGGCCGGAAGTCCCCGGAGTTGGGGAAGGCTTCAGTAGAAGCTGCTGGGCCTTCCGAGTAAACGGCCAGAACGCCGACACCTCCTCATCTCCACCGCTCCCATGTTTTATTTTGTGTTGTCATAAGTTAGTCTCTCTGCGTTTCTGCGCTGGGCTAATGCTAATGCTAATAATGCAATGCGAGGATAATAAAATGGCGGCTTCACAAACGTTTTTGGGAGTTTGACGGGGCGTGGTTTGCATTCCGCCCAGCCAATCAGACACAGGAACCTTTTTCTCCCACGAAAGTCCCTGCTCTCTAGCAGGGACTGAAAAGGGGGTAAAAAAGGTTCTCTAGAACTAATTTAGTTCCTGGGACTTTTTGGTGTGAACGCAACTAAATCGTAGTTCTCAGGAACCTTTGTGGGAAAAGTACTTGGTGTGAACGCGCCTTATGGCTCTGCAGCAGGTGAAGCAAAGAACGGTGTCTTTCTCCGTGACATAATGCACCCATTTCCACCGGGTAAACCAGCTTTTCTGAAATGACCGCTCGAAGGTCTCTGTCCCAATTTTCCTGGCAGGAAAACGTATGTCTGGTCGACACGGCTCATCAAACCCCAAAATGTTAGGTGTCGGGTCGAGCTTGTCAACTGCACCACCTGGTGTGTGGCCATGGCTAGCGTTAGCCACAGCTGAACTGCCAGCTCCAGTTTCATCGGTGCTGCTGCTAGGAGGCTGGTGCTCGTTGGTGGTTGTAGACAAATGTCCTGCCCCTGCATCTTCTAATTCAATATTTTTAGCAGATTTAGCGTTTTTAGAGAGAAACAAAATCCGATATCCGTTTTTGCGCCATGTTAGTTACTTGTGTTGTTGTGTGTCACGTTAAAAGTAGCCGACTAAAAACTATCAACACACTTTTTTTCCACATCTTTTTTATTTTTCTTCCCTGAAGCAAAATAATGTATTATATACTTATAAATTATCATTTGAATTATAATATATAATATAATCTCAGGCACAATGAAATGAGATATATATATAATACAAATAAAATACATTTGCAGGCAGGGGTGCTCCGCTCCCCCTCCCTGCCGCTAGGGGGTGCTGCAGCGCCCTCAGCACCCCCCTTCCCGCGCCCCTGGATATGAGGAGCTGTGAGCTCTGAGTGCTAACAGCTAACGGCTGATGTTGGTTTTGTGTTTCACATTGAAGATGACGTCACGGCTCCGCCTACACTGCGTTACTATAGCTACTAGTAGTAGTAATGATACCGCTTTCGTCTCATTAGTATGCATAAAAAGCCCCCAATTATGCAAATGAGCTAAGTCCCGCCTCCCATTGTTCGCGATCCTTTGATGTGAGGGTGAGGGGTCATCACCCCCTAGGGGTGAAATGCCCCACTGTGTAGCGCCTTTGTTCGAGATCCTTTTGATGTGTGTTATGTGAAAAGCCTTTGTTGTCTAATTCTTTGATGTGTTGATTAAGTCTCTTTGAAGTTCTATTGTATGGCCCCCCTCAGAGCCCTTTTGTTGTCTAATCTAATTATGACGTCTAATCTAATTATGATGGCTAATCTAATTAGCCTTTGGTGTTTGCCCTTTGATGTGAGGTGTTATAACAGGCCGGCGTGACTTCACACTGGTGTGCTATAAACCTTTGATGTTAATCTAGGTGTCTCTTTGAAGTTATGTGTGAGACTGTCTACCCAGCCCCCCTCCCAGCCTCTCCCCCTGTTCTACCCCTTCCGGGGCTATGACGCAACAAATAGTGGGGGGTGGAATTAGGTAGAAATACGCTCAAACGAAATAACAAGACAGCAATTCCATTTACCCAGTCACCTTTTCAAAAAAGAAAAATGGCAAGAGACGCCTCGAATGGGGTTTAATCAGCCTGTGACAACTTACAGCCATCCGTCCGTAGCGTCAGTCAAGAAACGAATGCAGCAGCAGTGCGGGGGTCAGACGCCTACAGTCTGTGCAATGGATCTCGTGCCCTCTTTTGGTCATGCGCGCGTTCATGTGTGTTGGAGGAGGGGCTCTGTGAGGAAGTGGCAGATTTCCCCCCGGTTTGACTGCAAAAGACTCTCATTTTCTCCAAATGATCTAACCCTTACCTTTAAGAATAATTCACACACACACACACACACACACACACACACCCACACACACACACACACACACACACACACACACACACACACACACACACACACACACACACACACACACACACACACACACACACGCACGCACACGTTGGAGCCCCCCCTTGATGTGGGGGTTGAGATAAGCCTGGGGTGTAAATGCCTATGTTAATTAAGACACTCTCTGTGAGATGAGAAGAGAGGGATGAAGTTAGTTTTCAAAAAAGAAATAAGTTCAAATTAAATAAAAACAGCCATTAATTTTCACTCACCAAGACATCTAAAAACGTTATTGTCCTCTCTAGATTTGATTCAGGGTTTGTTTTAAATGATGTGTGCTGGCTAAGGATGTTTCTTTTCAAGTTTTTGTGAAACTGTTAACTACAAGAAGTATCTGTTTGCAAAGAGGTTATTTTCAAAAGATCTTATTTAGGTTTTAATAGTGATACCTAAGGATATTCTCTTTTAGTATATGGATTTGTGAACTAATGTGTAATTACTTTTATTAACTATAAGAAAAGTCTCGGAAAAAGACGGAAATAATAAAACAATTTAAAAACATGATCTTGTCTTTTTTTAATCATTATTTTACAGCACTGTAAGGAAACCCAATATGAGGTGGTAATATTAGAATGCTGCTGTATCCATAAAAGAGAAGTTTTCTTAAAAATGTGTTTCCTATTCCATTTCACTTCATGACGGCTCCAGGGTGCTGATCAGGACAAAAGAAAAGCTGTAAGAAGACGCGTAGCTAATTACCTGGATAAAAGGACTCATTGATTGGTCAGTTTTTTTGAGGGGTTGATAAGGCACTGTTATTTGGTATTTTATAAGGCGACAAGATCTCTACAGTTTGAAGAAACTAGAGGATGTATTATCCTACCATTCCAGCTCTGCGCTTTATTGACCTGGACGCCATCACAAAACAATGTGGTAAGTACTTATCTTATAATATCATGTAATTATTAAATGTTGTTTATATATATATATATATATATATATATATATATATTTATATATATATATGTGGATAGTATATTATTAGATACTTAACAAATATTATGTTTTTCTGTTTGCAGTAGAGATCCTGTGTGCTGAAAACCCTAATGTGTGGGGTCATAGGATTATTGAAATACTAGGTGAGTTTCTTTTTTACTTCTTTTTAACATGTTTTTAATTAGAAAAGTATAGCGTAATATGGTGTAGATTATAATCAAATCTTTCTGTGTGTCTCAGCTCAGGATACTCCGAGTCAGATAAGGCCACTATTAGTGGAAAGAATCTGCTTTGTACTTGGAGCCTACCTTAATTCACCCCCTGTGGAAAGTGAGTATATTTAAACTAATTGTATTTTATTTTGAAATCAAATGTGTTTTTTATGTGCAAAGTATCCCCGAATAACGTTTTTTTTATTACTCTTTTGTTAAAAAAGGTGGCGAAGTCTACAACACTGACAGAGGCTCTGTGTATCAAAACTTTCCCCCTGTGGAGTTCACACACAATCTACCCTTTGAGGTAATACAGACCCCCTGAGTACAGCCGTCGCCCTCCCCCGGGACACAGATAACCAGGCATACACCCCCCTTTTCAACGCCCCCCTGCAACCGCTGGAGTCTGAAACCTTCCTGCAAATTCCACCAGAACTGCAGGCCGATTTTGACACTTGCAGTGCCTATCTGGATGACTTTGAGTTACAACCAGACATGCTCATATCGAGTCAGACAGACTCAGCCCCTAGTCCTCAGGTCGAGGGTGAACCATCAGCACAGACTCTGCGTGAGATTCAGGCCGATATATCACTCCTCACAGATCCCCTCCTGACGAGATATCACCCGGTAAATGAGTTGTATGGTTATTTTTAGGGCTGTCAAACGATTAAACATGTTTAATCAGATTAATCACAGCTTAAAAATTAATTAATCATGATTAATCACCATTCGAACTATGTCCAAAATATGCCATTTATTTATGTATATTGTTGTGGGAATGGAAAGATAAATGAAAGAAGGCGGATATATCCATTTAACATACAGTATCTATGTTTATTATAACATTTTTCTGCGTGTCAAAATGAAAGACAACCCACACATCTATCAATCATCAAACCGTGGGGTCTTAATTCATTACGTGTTGATTTATATCAACGGGCAGGCCCGGACTGGCCATCGGGAGGACCGGGAGGTTTCCCGATGGCCTGGCCTGTTAAGTGGCCTGAGGATTTTTTTTTTTAAATGTATGTATTGTGAACGCAACGCTGCGCAAATGTGGGTCTGACTCTGCCTCACAGAGGGTGACTGGCTGTATACATGATGTGGCCTGCCGACATGGCCACTTTCATACAGATCATACTAATGCCCTCGATTGGTTTGTGTGTCATTCAAGCTCGGGAGGGTGTGTGTTAGTGTGGCGCGATAAAGCGTGCGCACCGGTTACGTGTATTGTTGTTAGCATCTGGTGCTAGCTAGCTGCGATAATGGATATAAGGAGCTTTTTCAACAACAAGGTGGAGGAGAGTCCTCTCCTGTCAGACTGAGAGACTGATAACTACAGCTCAGGTGAGGTAAAGGACTCTCTGAGTGTTTAGATAGTTAACTTAGTCTAAGTTATCTCTGTGGGTCTCGAAGGGTTTGGTCACCATTTATGTAAACACATATTTCCATTTGAGGGGGTAGTGATTGGTAAAATATGCATGAATAATACAAAAAAATTTTTAACTAGGTGAAAAAAGGTAAGATAAACTTGTTGAGAGCTAAAACTAGTATTTGCTGCTGCCTCAAAGAGGAGCAAGGGGAGAGACAGGTGAGGCTGGTTCAGGAGCACAGACACACTCACAACTATAAATGAACCAAAAACAAATAAATAAACAAGTTTCAATGTTTTTTCATATTGGATATGGTATGTTATTGGTTATGGCCATGATTTTATGATTATTTAAATGTATACAGTTCTGTTTCATATGGGTGTAGTCTCTTTATTTCCCCCTCAAAATGCACCAGATTGATGCATTTAAGTCCAACATTTAAAACAAATCTTACCGGGGGAGCATGCCCCCGGACCCCCCCTATAGGATTTGAGGTCCACCTCCACTTAAAATATGTTCACATAGGTTCCTAAATAGATTTGCACATTTTTAAAAATAGTAACCCATGTCCATATGTTTATTTTTGGGTAGTAGATTTAGAGGGCTATCACTATGGGCAGCAACGCTGTAAAAATTGACAAATAAAACTGGTAGTGGCCTGGCTGGGTGTATAATTCCCGGCCTGACTTATTGTCCCAGTCCGGCCCTGTCAACGGGGAAGTACTTCAGGAAAGTCGACAGAGGGGGGGGGCGGCGGCGGCTAGTGGAGTACTTCGTGACCACAGAGTGTGAACGTTGTGATCAGCTGTTTTAGCGCAGTTCTCCAGTGAAGGGGGGGAGTCTCCCTCCGCAGCCGGTTGGCGTAGTTTTGGCACAATTCCGTTGTACAGACCGACGTTAACAGCAGCCCTGTCTGTGCACACGGAGACCGACTCTGTCGTCCGGTGATCTAACCGCCTTCTGGAAAAGCTTCACAAGTACGTCGGTACGCAAATGCGATTTGTGACACAAGTGACGGTACGCATTTCAGAGAGATTACGCACATAACCTGCGTACCAGTTATGTGCACCCCTGTACTACAGCAAAAGTATTCTCCGTCGGGACTTCCTGCAACAACACCACGCCGTTATCAAAGATGTTCTATTGAGAAGACGATCACTACGTGACAAAAGTTTTCAAAACCGTGGCTGCTGAAATGAATCTTACTAACTGCTGTCTGTGCAATTTACTCCGCGCGAGTTGGCAGACTTTATTTTGCTTACTTTAACATCATTTTTCATGGTGGGGCTAAGCCATTTCTGGTGTAGCCTACCCCAGCCATACCCTGGCGCTGCCACTGGTGGCACGTACTGTATGGGGCGGGCCATTCTGCACATGCGTTAAATGCGTTAAATATTTTAACGCAATTAATTCAAAAAATTAATTACCGCCGTTAACGCGATAAGTTTGACAGCACTAGTTATTTTACAAGATGTTTGATAAATGAATAGTCGTTAAATGTATAACCATGTGTTTTTCAAATACTTATCCTTCTTTTTCTTTGTCTTTTTTCTGTATAGATCAGTCAAGCTATTACCAGGTGGACCCCCACTGCTGTTATTGCCAACTTTATGGACACACCCACTGAATAAGCTGGAGGGTCTCATGTAAATTGATGCCGATGTAACCGACCGGTATGTTTCTTCAGCTGTGACAAATGTATTTCTGATTTGGTTTCATAAACGGTCAAACATGGATGATTTAGCAGATGGAGAATTTTCTTTTCTTCAGTCTATAAACGACATAAATGAACTAAGCAGTGATGAGGAATTCGTGTATGGAGATATGTCATTTCCTCAGTGTTCGGGCAATATCATTGAGTTAAACGACGAAGAACCTCCCATCTCATCACAAACAAACTCAAGCCATCCCACAACCTTAGATAGCGCTTTGGAATGGGTATTAGAATGCTATCAAGACTCTGACACTTACCCTGGTCTAGGGCTTTTAAATCAGCTCGCAGACTGACTAACGTTCCGTCTACACTACAGGCGTCAAAAAATGCTTTCAACGCTTCGCCCATTCATTTGAATGGGGTGACGTAGGATATTTTCAAACTTCGCCGAACTGCATTGTGGGTAGCATGGCAAGGCGTTGCAAGCATCGCGAGCGTCTATCGGCGTCAAAAGTTGAACATTGTTCAACTTTTGAGGCTCGATGCTTGCTCGAAGCTGGCGTCAGCCAATCAAATCCCGTTTTTGCAATTCCCGCCAGTACAAGCGCTAGCCAATCAAACCGCGTGCAAGCTGGGAGAGCCAGACCGCAGTTCATTTCCTCATATTCCAAACGAGAAATTACGGTAGCAAATCACCCGGTTCTTTCCGACCAGAACTATTTACCGGGATACAAACCGGAGGAACCAGGCATGGAGGGAGGAGGCAGAGACAGTGGGTGAAACTGGTAGGTTTTCGCCTGTTTGGGGATTTTATATCCAGTTTACTTCGTTTTAACATTGCTATTGCTTTGTATGTCGGGGGCGGGAGATTCATGTGATTGGTTGTTGGTCGCGTTGCTCGCAAAAAATCGCCAAGCTTCAGACATGCCCAGCTTCAAGATTTGTCGATGCCTGTAGTGTAGACAGGCCGTAAGCCATCTGAATGGAGTAAATAGCATAGCTTCAACCATTGCGGAATCACCAGTTTCCATCGTGCAGAATGGTGGACACGTTAGTGACTCAGAATCACCAGTTTGCTCCATGCAAAGTGGTGGACATGTTGATCAGAATGACACCCCGAATGCTTCAGAATCCCTAACCAAAAAGTTTTCAAAACCAAAAAACGAGTGGGACGTTTTGTCGTGGATGGTTTTGCCGAAGTAGCCGGGGGCAAGATTGTCTGGGAATTTCTTGGTTGCTTCTATCATGGGTGTCCATCTTTCTACAAGGGCCATGAGAAAAACCCCTTGACAGGTGGCACATTTGAGCAGCTCCATGCTGCTAGTGAGGAAAAGCTGCATGAGCTACAGTCTGTTCACGGGGCCAAAGTGATCGTTATGCGTGAGCATACATGGGTTGAGATGAAAAAATCCAACCAAGATTTACAGGCTTTCCTCAGGGAATACAAAGCGCCAGAACCATTGACCCCCCGCGATGCTCTATACGGAGGGAGGACATGTGCTGTAAAGCTGAGGCACACGACAGCGGCAGATGAATTGGTTCATTATTGCGATTTCACTTCACTCTACCCTTTTGTAAACTGTACAGGCCTATATCCCCTTGGACACCCCCAGCTCATATTCCGAGATTTCAAAGACCCTCGCAGTTATTTTGGGTTAATCAGAGCCACAGTAGACCCTCCCAAGGGTCTTTACTTTCCTGTCCTGCCCTACCGAACTGCGGGGGGTAAGCTAGTGTTCACCCTATGCCGTACATGCGCTGAGCTTAACAACCAACAGGGGCCCTGCATGCACAGCAAAGAGGAAAGAGCATTAACAGGAGTTTGGGTGACCACAGAATTCACCAAAGCCCTGGACATGAGATACAAGATGACTCAGATCACAGAGGTGTGGCATTTTGAGAAGAAAAGTGACAGCATTTTTGTAGACTATATACACACATTTTTGAAGGGCAAACAAGAAGCATCAGGTTACCCTTCAGAGGCCACAGATCATGAGAGCAGACAAAAGTATGTGGCAGACTATCATGCTAAGCAGGGTATCTTGCTGGATGCATATAAAATCAAATCAAATCCAGCC